CATTCCAAAGGCAACACCAGGACTTCAAAAACTGAGTTGTGTCAATCACACCTTCAATTAAATTTACCTCGGGATTGAAATGAGAGACATAAAAACAGCCATAGATAAAAGCATTTTGCTGTGATGTGCAGGACATTCTGCGATTACCTTCACAGTGTGCATCCATTGCTGGTAAGACCTTGAATTACCTGGAGGGGAAAACAATGAGAATATGAATGAATCATTTCACAGACTATAGCATTGCTTTAACATTGCAGAGCAAAAGTGACTGTGTATATTACACTGTCTCACAACTACACACTCTACAATATTAAACATCTTAAAACATCTGACAAAAGTATTTCTGTGTTGACATAACAGGACAGCGTCAGGAAACAATGAGTTGATACAAATAATTATATAATACATGTTGTGCCATTATTCCTTTTCCCTCCGTCTCTTTTGTCATAAAGAAAAAGATAAAAACATTTACTGAGACTTACAAAACATTATTATTAACTGGATGAAAAGTACTTGTTAGGGCAGAAAGAGGAGTTTTTCTATGTTGTCCAAAGCTATTAAATGTTTCGGGAATAGAATTAAAGATGACAATGTGGGTTTGGTTGAGGATCAGAACTGATGAACCCAATAATATGATGGATGTTATACAGATGCTATTTCCGTTTTCTTGTCTGTAAAAACAACTTCAACCTGAAGCCCAATAATCACAATGATATCATTTGTCTGAGCGTTCCTAAGGGAGTTCAAACTTCTGATGTCTGGATCACAAACTGAACATTTAATAATGTTCAATCCTGCCCAAACTGTATTAGTTCTTCTTCTTTTGCCACATTCAATTAGATTTACAACGTTTGGTCTAATGAAACAATGTTTTCATCAGATGACAAGATGTCAAGATGCAAGTCAAATATTAAAAATGAACCAATTCCACCATGAGGGGATATTTAAATGTCTTTAAGTGACTTTAAGGCATAATGTCAACATTTGATTCAATAATTATTAAATTGGGCACAGGCATGTTCATGAAAAGATAAACATCCAACAAACTAAAACATAAGGAGTTCAAAAACAGATGTTAATATAAAATGTACACAAACACTAGACTATAAAATATTCTTTCTGTGGCCATCTTTTTTTAAAGTTTATAATGGTTTCGACCAGTTCATCATGAGTTTTTAAAGACAGATGAATTTTATTAAGGCAGTTAAGGTGCTTAGTGCCTGTTCTTTAGAGATTTCTCCTGGTTGTGTTCAACGTTTTAAATCTTACTTTAGCACAATAACTACGGCCTTTAACATAAAATATGGCAAATAAATATAATGTGACTAATTGATAGACACGTCTAGCACTACTCACTTCCACAGAAGCCCCCCTCTGTGATCTCTTCTTCAAACACGTCCGAGAAGCCGCGGCCTGCGTTCAATTTGGCCAGCCGTCCGTCGATGAACTACAACCATAAATAACAACGTGCTTATTAAAGACGGGAGGTTGGGGGGGGGGTGAGTGGACACACTTAGACAGATAGAAAACACATACACATAGATTCAAACACTCAGGCCACAGTGGGGTGTTATTAATCCTACCTGACAGAAACTACATCCCAAGATTAGGTGGCTTGAAGGTAATATGGATTTGTTAATGTGGAGCAGGTGAGGGATTAGGGCAGCAGACTACATGCTGCACACTGTCTGAGACATGAGGAAGTTTCATTTCCTCTCTTTGGAACATGGAGCGCATAAAACTCCATGTCATAAATATGGACCCAACAGCCAAGAAAGCTACACATTTCATGAGCACAGTCACAAACTCGTGTAAAAAGTTAAGCTAGTACAAGCGGTCACGCACATAAGCCCTAATATTTGTAATTAGCACAATTCAAAAATCAACAGCAGTTCAATGAAGAACCCTAAAGCATGTCAAGTTGTTTTGAGTGTTTCAAAACCAAATAACGGAAAATCTGGACAAATTAAAAAACGAAATAAAGTCGTTCAATAGTTTTTAACAATGTTTTAAATCATTTTGGCACGTGACATTTTGGCCCTGTTGCTGCCTCCGATCAATTTACAGGTTTACTTATGTCATTGGCAGTTGTATTGTTGTTTTTGCAAGTAAAACATTGAACTGTACATCATCCTTCTTCTTAACGCAGAACATGAAGAAAACCGTTAAAACAATTATGTGAATGTAGATCACTCAGTCACACATATGCAACACTGTTTTCTATTAGCTCAATCCAACCACTTTGACCCCAGAGTTCCTGTTAGTTTCCTGTCCCATCGCTTATGATATCAGCAAATAACAGAGTGGATATCACACATTGCAGTGAAATCCTTGGGCTTATCTCGGCAAGATTCTGGCATAACAAACAAAAAAAAACAGCAGCTGCAACATCATACCTTTCTTTCATTATCTAGTTGTGGGGCCAAGGTCTGCAGATGTGCTGGAAAAACAACCTTCTACCAGTTTGTGGGCGTAGATTTTTTATAAATCATTGTGTTCAACCCTTAACTTTATCTATCTATCTATCATAGTTTATTTGTGGAAAAGTAGGATGGAAAAGTAGCTTACAATTAGCAATTGTATCATTCAAAGATAATGACTATATAAAAATAATTTGGATTTAAGGTTAAATATATTTTCTTGAGTGATGATTACATTACTAACCAATCAACACCTCCTACCTTTCAGGCAGGCTGTTGCAATTTCAAGATCAACAACAAAGGCTACACTATTCTTTTTAACAACATATTGTAAGAGAATAACTGCAGTAATCCTACTCCCACCTCTGAGTCTGTGTCCAGAAGTACAACAACAGTGTTTTAGGGTGCGTGTCCTCAGGGACAGAATGCTAACTAGCGAGCGACAAGGCCACCCGCTCGTCTGGTCAGAAGAGCCACAGACTCATCATTAGATCATTTTAATGAGAGGTGAGACTGCAGGTTTCAACCACTGCTCCGCTACTTGGCTGGCCTAATTAGTGCAGATAATCAACCCGAATCATCACCCAGCCAAAGCCTCCACTTAACTCCGCAGGCGCAAAGGCCCTCCAACTTAAGTCCCCCCCCCCTCTCACACACCCCAGCCAGATTACCTGCCTCACTGTGGGCCTTAATTGGACATTACTCAACAATGGCAGACTGTGATCACCACACACCCTCAACCACACAACAAACCAATACATTAAAAAAAACACTTGCACATGTGCACCTACACAAACACAATACAAAGGCTAATTGGCTTTGTTAAGAGAGGCAGACCCAAATAAAGAAGCTCTTTTAACAAGAGATACATTTTAGGGTAGGGCCACAGAATTTTATAATTAACACACATTTTTTACTTTCACCAAACAAACTACAAATACATATGGTGAATCCTGCTCTCCACATGTCTACATGTCATCTTGTTTCCTGTTGCAGACGAGGAGAGTTATTCCATCTGGGCAGTGACTCACTCGCCGCTCGGTCACAGTGGTCTACATTTATTTAAACTGTGGAATTGCTGAGCCAGAAATTGGGATTAGGACTCTACAGGGGTTCATTTACAGAGACATACACGGAAAGCCTAAACGCAATGTTATTTCTGCAATTTGGAATTTTATCCCATAAACTGTAGATACTCGGGGATATAGGTTGGATTTGGGTTTACAGCTCGCCACAATCTTTGCAAGTTAGTGGAGTTTGGAAATTCAAATTTGGTCACAAAGAAGGAGGCCAGAAGAGAAAGTGGGACCAGTATTGCTGCTTTAAAGGCTGAGACGCACACACTAATATAAAGCAAAATATACTTCTTTATAAATAATATCCCTTAAGCAGTTCATAACTATCAAAACACACCTACAGTACATGCCACATCAACACACATAAGAAGAATGTTAATTAGTTTAAAAAAAAAATAGCTTTCTTTACTGTAAAGGTTTTTGTAGGCATCATCTATCAGCCATTGGCATTAGTGACTTTTACAGCCCATAGCACGGATACGGAGGTGTATCTGTCCCATTTATTAAAACTATTTAGTGGAAAGCTTGAGATATGAAGTCTTGTGAACTGGAGGGGATAGAGCAACTACACGATCAGATTTTAAATCAGATCATTTGGTTTTACAAGGACACACCTTTCCAGCTTTCAATAAATGGCTCGGCAATTGCATTCATAACACGGAGAATGGCGGATGATTATTGATTGATGGGATGCACATTGTCTACAAAGGCTCCTGGCAGTAAATTATCAGACTGCAAGTCCCCCCAAAGACTCAATAAAACTGTGTAAGGCTTAGTTTTGTCAATAAGAGGAAGAGACTTCATTGAATCAGTCTCTGCTAGCACACAAACGTGAACGACAGTGTGTGTGTGTGTGTGTGTGTGTGTGTGTGTGTGTGTGTGTGTGTGTGTGTGTGTGTGTGTGTGTGTGTGTGTGTGTGTGTGTGTGTGTGTGTGTGTGTGTGTGTGTGCGCTTGTGAGTGTGTAGGAGCTGCGGATGGTTGATAGGAAGCAGGTTAATGTCGACAGGCTTTCCCCCGCATTCTTTTAGAAGACTTCTCCCACTTGTTCTGTTCTGAACAGAGACGAGCTGGTGGACCGAGCACACAGGAAACAGGAACAGAACAAAAGTGTGTAAGAAGGTGAAACTGTGACATTCTAAGAGGTGTGTATGTGTTGATATTTATTTAGGGCTGGCTTGGTGTCTATATTTCATAGAGGCAACAGATAAAGGGACCATTGTTTCTGCTTTTTGCTCCCTAAGCACACAACTCAAATGCACTCAGCATTTACAACTTTGTTATTAAGAAGGTGTTTAGCAAATCATTGGTTACAATTATAGATGTTAACAGGGGTTGAATGTAATTGATAGCCTTTAATGTCAGGACACAATAGTCTCTCTGTCCTCTTTGCTATTCAGCTCCAGAAGTATTAATGTTTTGCTGAATTTGCATGAACCAATGTTACCTCTATAAAACTGGAATTACTTGTGAAGCAAAAGAGCTGCTTTACAAGGAATGAAAACAAAATCACCTGTAGAAAAGCAATTTCCTGCTGAAACGGTAACACCTCAAACTCAGGTAACACCTCAGCATTATGTGTGTGTGCTTCGCCTTGTGTGTGTAATGTGTGTTGTGGTCCACCAATTGCAGTAATATGGTTTCAATTTGGCTCAAGTTTGACCCATTATCGTTGACATATAGGCGACAGTGACAAATCCCACACTTTAAATGCCATTCTGCGCAAGTGAATATTTGATGTATATAATTAAATTCAATATATTGGTTGTTTTTTCTGTCTATTCCCATGCTAATGATTAGCTGCTTGATAATTGAGCAACACAACCGGTTTGCTTAAACTATCCTCTGTCAACAGTCCCACTGGGGAATAATGCATTAATTGTTTCCTTTAGCTGGAATTTAGAGGGGGAAAAGCAGGTTCACTAAATAAATGAAAGTTTAAAAGTCTGCCTCTGTAAAAAGTGAATCCCTGCTTCTATTGTTAATGACATATTTTATCAATTGTAATTACATTCCAAAATACAAAGCAGCAAAAGTCTATTACTCAATATATTTCGCAAAATGCTCGATACGTTTAATTTTTGGAGGGGGGGGCTCAAATAGGAGAGAGGTCCTACTTATGGCTATAAAGAAATGTGGGATATTCTGATAATGAAGACAATATATTTAGGTGCATAATAGGATTGTCCCGGTCCCAGTTTAAGATAAGATCAAATAAGATGGAGCTTTATTAATTCCCATGGGGAAATTCACAAGTGTTAGCAGCAACAGAGATTCATGAAATTAAAGATACAATTACAATTCAAACTTAAAAATGATATACAGGTAAGTAGCTTTTAAGGTAAGTAGCTGTTTAGTTATGTATGTAAAAATGTATGTGTGCATGTTGGTGGTCACGCACGTTTGCGAGCGGATGTGGGTCATGGCCACAGCAGAGCTCGGGCGTACCGCTGGCCTCCCTCACTTAGCCGAAAGAGGAGTGGAGGAGATAAGCTCACCCCATCCCCCGTGCTGGAGAGGAGGAGGAGGAGATAAGGGTTTGTTTCCCAATGCTACCGCGGAGGCATGAGCCAGCCGGGGAGGATGCTTTGAACTGCTGCGTGCTATCTGCTTGGCCTGGGAAAATTATAGACGGGGCAGAGTGTCCGGAGAAACAAAAGACTGATTGAGGGCCGCTGTGCTGTAACTCTCGGGGGTAAATCACACTACTATCACGGGTCAGAGAGCACAAAGAAAAATTCAACGGGTGAGAGAATTTTTTTTTTTAAGCCAGAGGTGTCCTTCCACTCGGCTCAGTTAAGTTTTGCTGAAGGGATAAGGGAGGGAGGACATATTAAGTACACATGGGAGAAGTGATTGTAAGGGAAACTCATGTAAACACACCAGGTTGAAATTAGAGCTACATATTATTGCTTTTACAGGCTTATGTATACAGGTCGAGACAGAATATAACTTTAAAATGGTGTTATGCAGTAAAAAATATATTACCACGTATGAGTATTCGTGTTGATTTTTGTACTGCAGGCAAAATTGAGCAAACGGAACATTAAGACATAACGGAGTGTTTTGGGAGATATCTGCAGCGAAAAGTTTCAAGGGGTCAATATCTGTCTATAATCCAAGGCCTCTCTCTTTGCCTTTTCTCTTCACTTTAAGAAACTGAACTGTCAAAATGCTAAAGGCATTACCCAGTTGAGCGTTTGATCAGCCCGTATTGGTGGGAGACGGCTGTCAAAATGAAAACGTTCACCACTCTAAATACAGATCTGCAGAAAGAAATGAAGAACAATGAATGAACATTGCTGGGAGAAGACACAGAACCGATCCGCATTCAGTCTTTATATTTTCCTGCTTGCCTTTAGATAAAGGAAAAAGTTGAGCATCTGTCAATGTTACCATGTACAGTACTGTAGATGACAGCAGATTTTATAATAATGATCTAAGGATGAGAAATTGACGCATGCTTTATCTACCAAATAATTTACATTGAATTCAGTCCACAGGCTGTTTCAGGAGAAAGTCAAAGTCAAGTTAAGTTAAGTTGCTTTACAGTACGTTCAAAATATAAGCATTTGGCCTTTGTGTCTCCTTGAGATGTGTGTGATGTGTTATGTTCTTTTGTTTCTTCCTTTTGGGACTCTTCCTTCTTTTGAAGCAAGCACTTAAGCTATTTTATTTCCGTGAAAGGTGCTATACTTAATGAACATTCTATTATTATCATTATTTAATTAATGTAAATTACCTCACATAGTACTTTAAATGCTGGTGTCAAGACACACACACACACACACACACACACACACACACACACACACACACACACCTGTTTGAAGAGCTGCAGGTTGACGGCCATGGACAGGAAGTCTTTCATGGTGCTGGATCGATGGTTCGCAAAACTCTCTTCACAGAAAGTGATGGGCTCCCCCTGAGAAGTACACAGTCACATCATTGGTATAAATGGTAATAAATAATAATAATTCATTTGGCTCCTTTTTCTTTGTACCAATCTGTTGTCTAACACTTTTACATTTTTCAGAAAATGAGCATGTGGTGCTTTGAAATGCATGGGGGGGGGGGCAAATAAACAATATGGTTTGTAATGTGATTCAAAGCACTAAGACAAACCAATCTTCCAAACCAGCATTGTAAAAAGTATTTAAAAACCAGTATTTGAATTGATTTATTCATTAGTGGGCTAAATGCGGCTGAAAACAGAAAACAAATCAAAACGAGAGACAGGAAGGAAAAGAGGAAGGATCAAGCAAGAGGAAGAAGAGTATTAGAATAAAAAAACAGTCCTTTTTAAAACAGCTCCCCTGGAAGAGCACAGACCATATCCCCCGGACGAGAAGACAATGTCCCAGTAAACTCCCCAGTACTCCACATGAACACATTATTTCTTTTTCTTACATCATGTGTGTTGGCCTGTGAGCTATAGACATGGAGGATGGCAGCAGAACCACTGCGGGCCAATCACACACAGCCCTACAGCCATTTCAAATGCATGTTTTCTCATATTTAACATAATTCTCACATATTTCAATGAAGCTCTAAATTCTTCGGGTGTAAAGAAAATGTGCTTTTGTCTTTTCCAGGCTACGAGCACAGTGTGGCACATAAAAACAACTTAACAACACAGGAATCAACCCCATTTTCCAGGATGGGCGCATGATACTGTACCAGTGGCCCACATTACATCACAGGAATACTGCTCCACTTACATCACTAAAAGTTTTTTAGGCGTGTTCTCTCGTAAAAGCCCAGTTGAAAGTAGCTTGTTGTAGTTTAATCAGCTTTGCCATTTCTATCGGGGTGCTACCGCCGCAGACCATAGTGCAGCTGAACACTGAAAAGCATGCAAATAACAAATAACTTCTACTGAGAAACTTCTAACACTGGGTCTGTTTACAAGTTAGTATCCAACAATGTCCAAACAAATAACTTCGACTGAGAAACTTCTAACACTGGGTCTGTTTACAAGTTAGTATCCAACAATGTTTTTGGCCGAACCCCAACTGATACTGCTGCTTGAATAATCTAAAAACTGTTTAAAACAACTAAAGGAAGAGAACAACACTCACTGAATCTCTTTACCAAGGTCATACGTTATACAAGAGATAGCAGATTTAGGAAGCCATTACATAAAAACAATTATAGAAAAAAGAGAAGCTTATCATAGCAGATGTGTTCAGCGTGCCAGAACAAGTGGGCAGTTCTCTGTGGATGAATGTTCAGATCTAGGGGGAACTAACTGTATAAGACGCAGTAAGTTTACAAGAAATCTATGAAAAAGACAATATCATTTACTGTCAGAGTTTAGACGATTAGGGTATGTGGACCCTTCTATCTACATGCACATATCAATATTCTACTGTACATTTTGGCAAATTCATATCTCTTTTCATCAGAATTTGATTTTTTGCCAACCAAGTTTTCACATACAAGGAATGTTCTTTGGTGTATTAGTGTATACATAAAAAAGTTATAATACAACAAAACACTTTCAAAAGGCAAAACAACAATACTTACTTGTACATTAATGAGTTGATCAGCATGTTGGAGTATTTATAAGTGAAAGCATTGTTCTACACGGTAAAAAGATTTAAGATGGAAACTCCAATCTGTGCTACATTATTAATGATGTTCAAGATTCCACATTTTTTTTTAAAACAGTTGCCATTAGTTTGTTTGTTGTCTTTCTGCATTTCACATTGGATTGAATGTATGTCAATCTCTCTCCCTTTGTTGTCGAGTTGGTGTTATTTGTAGGCTTTGACTGTGACTGCAAACAAAACTGAGACTTTATTCTTACAGAACAAATTGTTCTTGTGCAAGACATACTTACTTTTGAACACGTGGTGGGACGATATGAACTGGTTACATGCCCACTTGAGTTAAACTCTGGCTAATTCTGCCACTGAACAGTAACGAGCGCACACCACCGTATTATGCGCACCCACACACCTGACTTGGCTTCATCAACGGTGGTGAAAACTAAATTTGAACTGCTATTTCAGGTTCTTTTTGCCAGACACGTGTGCTTCTCCGAGGTGGTGAGAAGCACCTGGGGACGCATCAACGTGAGCTGAAATTGATGACCTAAGAAATGCTGTTCTAATCAGCTGATTGCTTCTCAACTCATTATCATTTTCCAGTATTGTTTCATTTACATCTCAGCAAGACTCCAACAAAACATCCACACCCCTCCTTCTGTCGGGGCATATGGGCCTGTGAACCACAGCGATCAGAACAATCACTAGCAGAGTGATATTCAACAAATATCAGAGCGCAGCGAGTATCATCAGTATCTCCATGAAAGCAGATGTGCAGTTTGTGCATGTATGATAACTCCGTGGCTTTTATTCAGATCCTCTCTACAAAAAAAAAAAACAGTGCGAGCGTGAGTGAACTGAGAAATGACTGCATGTTGTGCTCACACATACACAATCACACACATACGCTGAGTCTCAGTGCTTGTGTCAGAGGGGAGGCAGTTTGTTCATATACTGTCTGTATACAAAGAAAAGAGAGACAGCATCAATAATGTAACATCTTGACTCCGGGAGTCCACAAAGTCCAATTAATCTCAAAGCCAAAGGAACAAAGGCTTTGCTATTTGACAAACAGGACATGCTGTAGTTTGCTCTGCTCTGACTCAGACTTGATAAGCAGAAAAGATCTAGAAAATAAATGTAAGAGGGGCTTAGTAAAACACCAACGGTGGCTAAAAGGGATGTTCAAAGGAACGTCCTGACTCTTTTCAGCTCCTTTGACATTTCACTGTCTCCGACAGGCCCACCTTACAGTAGCTCTATCTTCAGCTGAAAACACACCTTTTACCTTCAGTCAAATTGCCCCAGTCTAACCAGAACCCAGTCACATTTTAATCTCTCATCAAAACTGGTCGCTACTGAAGGGCTAATATATTATATTCATGACTGATAATCTTTCTGCTTGTGAGAAAAAAATACAATCTTTAATCAATTCAATGTTTTTACATGTTACCCAACCAGAGCATGATCAGTTTAGAAAAATCGTAGTTACCACCGCCAAGGAGGTTGTGTTTTTGGCTTGCTTTGTTTGTTTGACAACCGGATTAGGGCAACATAACTGGCCCAATATAAGGAAACTAGGTGTTAGAGTGGAGAATTGGCCAAAGGAGAACCCATTAAAATTGGATCACTCAAGGACCATGTGAATGCTGCCTTGGTATTGGCAGCGTACTGCACACTGAGTGCTATTTAACATTTATGTTTGTTTGCTGTGCAGTTTGGAGATTTGAAATGTTCAGTTTAGCCAAAGAACAAAACGAAAACATTATTTCTCACTTGCATTCAGATCTGTCTCTATAAAAAGGTGTTCTGTAAATATCTCAAGATAGGGGTTAGCTGATCTCTTTAAACCAGATAACTCAATGTGTGTATCATACTTTGGGTTTGATGGTAACAAAGCATACAGTATACAAATTGAAATGATGGCTCCAATATGGCACAGCGATTTGATAAGACAAGGTGACTGGTAGTGATCAAAGACATTGGATCCTTACAGGCTTATATCTGAGGGCGTCTCTGTAGGATCCAAACAGAGCGGCCTGCGCTCTCAGGAAGGACCTCGCCACACCACTTCCTGTTGCTGTCGACTGCTTCTTCAGCTTGCTCTTCAGAGAGGACACCTGGTGGAAAACATAAAGAGAGAAAGAGAGAGACAGAAAGTGAGGGAAAGGGAAAGAGAAGTGGGAAGAGGAAAAGGGAGAGATGGAGGGGTAAAAGTTAAATTATCACCTCTGAAATTGGTGGAGGAAACAGCTAGCCCATTCTGGGTGTGAAGTATCACATTTGCAGGTCATCTCAAAAAAGGAAAGGGAAAAAAAGGAAAAGCTTCAGCCTTTCCTGCTAGCTTCTCTGTTGTGCTGCTGGGAGCACCTGCTGCTTTGCTAATTGAGCAGAGGACGGGGGGGCGGAAGCGTGAGGGAGGGGACAGAAGAGAGGAAATGGAAACTCGTATTTTGCCTTTTTGCCTTTCCACTTCTTCCTCCATTTCCTATTCTTCTCCTCTTTCTTACCAGTCGTCCCCTCCTCTGTTAGCTCTCCCAAACTCCCTCTAGAAAGGGACACTTGACATAAAATGTCTTTAATTATTTCCCCCCTCTCTTGGCTCTGTCTCCAGGACTCCAGGCGAGAGTGGAGGAGTAGCAGGCCCGAGCTTGTTTTAGGATGACAAAAGATTCACCCCGGCCAGCGGGCCCCGGGGAGTCCTGGAAGGAAGTTGTCAAGAGGCTCTCCTCACCTGCTCAGCAGTAGTCTGACTGTGTGGTGGCAGAGCGAGGAGGAGGAGGAGGAGGAGGAGGAGGAGGAGGAGAGCGAGGGACTGCTGCGCTCTGTGTGGGCTGTGCCAACTTAGCACAAAAGCACAACAGTTGATTGGGTTGCACTGTAATGACGAACTGGCTTGGATCACAATGTTAAAGAAATAAGATTTCATAAAGTTTAACCATCAACTTCAGTTAGTTTCATTGTAGATCCTCACTGAAAACCTTTGGAGGGTGTTATCTAACATTTCTAAACTGTGTATCATCATATAATAAGCAAAGCCTTGTACATTTGATGCTTAAAATCTCTATATAGAACTCAGAAGAGTGAAATCTACAGATTTGAGCCTGTGGCTGGTGAGGATCGTGTGTCCTGCTCATGGGCACTACAACAGGGCAGAGTTGTTCTAAGGTCTAACTTCCCTCTGCATTCTTAGAACATTGGCGAGAAGTCTGGCACATGAAGCACTGATGAAAGTGTGTTTGAAATAACAAGGAACAATGTGAATTAACCTTTCTGGTTAGCAGTCTGCCTATTCGATAAAACACTGCACTGCATATTTCACCGGTCCATTCAATCACCTCTTTATAGAGTGCTACTTTTTGTGGTGTGTGTGCTCTGGACGTTCTGTGTTCAGAGTGTGTGTCAGATATTTGTGGACTAATTGTCTAGCCTTTCCGCCCCTGTAAGGCTGCACATTACATTTCCAACTCCATCTTTACAGTACATCAATATCATGCATTTTTAATGCTGCCAATGGTTGTACTGTAACAGTATTTGTGGGCACGAAGAGATGTAACAAAGGATGAAAGCAGTAGAACATCTGAAGTTGTGTCTACCATTTTATAACCCCAGTTCTTCTGTAATGGAAAACTATTTTGATCAGGTCTACTTCAATCAGAGGTGGCCATATATATCATGCTGTGTAGCCACAGCGTTAGAGGGATATCGTGGTCTGGCATCTGCAATTAGCCTATCTGGAAAACTTCAGGGAGGAGAAATAAAGTCTGAGAGCAGCTCATACAGAGGACAGGCAGAAAGAAACAGAGGCTGAGGGAAAGCGAGACAGAGAGAGTGGCAGTCTTAAACTGGGACAAAGACAAAACGAACAGCGTGGATTCCTCTCCCCTGGGCTTTCTCACTCTCCACAACGTCCCCGCGCTGCCATTGCAAATGCTCATAGGCATCAAACACCAAGTTTATCACGGTTAAATTAACAAGTGCCATCTCCATATTCACTCATTGTGCTAAATGCTTTTATGTTTATGTAAAGCCTTTTCTGGAATTAATATTTCATGTTTATGTGCGTTTTCACAGATTTTTTTCTCATCCTCACAAATCATTAAACTGTCTTTTTTTTTGAGGAGGGGGGAATCAAAGCGAACACAATGTCAGTCTAAGTGGGGGAGGCATACCCCAAAGACTGTCAGAGAATACGGGATAGCGGAGTTTACTGTGCACACAGAGTTCTGTTCAGCAGCTTTGAACGGGTGAGAGCACTGCCGTGGCAAACACTTTTTAATGAGGTTGGGACACAATCACTTGCGTTATTTTACCCAAAGAAAAATGGGTGATAAAGCAAAAAGAGTGAGATTAGCCATGGTGCAAAATACTCTTTTTTTTAGTCAAATGATTATTAAATGATCACATTTAACAAATATAGTAGAAATGCATGACAAATACCAGAATATGGTTTTTGCTGACAGTAAAAGGAAGCACAGTCCGTGGTGTGCTCTTTCACATATCGGAGACAAAAAATAAATGTGTGTTTAGTAATTGGATATTGAATATGGCGCCTACGCCACAATCATCAGGTATGCCTCCGCGGTAATGGCTCTGTCAAACTAATTAACTTTTACAGTTTGAGTGAAGCTAACGAGATGCGTACAGGCATCAGAGGAAGGCCAGGCTCTACAGGTGATAACCCTATTTGGCAGTGACATTTTTTAGTGTAAAGTCACAGTGGCGGTGATGAGATCAAAGGCAGAGAGTCCCCCATTGGGTCCAATTAGAACTATAGCATTGTACAGGGAAGGGGGGGAAGGGTAGCGGGTGGTTGGAGGGGGGGGAGGGAGAAAAAACTGTTGAGTTATGATATTCATAATCTATGCAGAGAGGCCTTTCCAGTACAGGTCTTCTCCCCATAGCTGTGATCTTTTCAATTTACATCAAGGGAAGATGGTCGGGGATGAAAGTGGGGCATCCGAGGCGCACAGCCCACAGAGGGCAGACATGGGGCCTCATTAAGGCCCAGCCCAGCCAGCCCCAAACAGGGTTTGAAGTGCGTCACATAAAGAGCAGGGGGTCAAAGGTCAGACAAAGAACAGATCTCCATTTAACTCTCCAGCTGGAGATGGTAATTAGCAGGTGCAATGATGATCCCTGTCTGGCTGTAAGGGATGATACCACCGTAGGTGACACCAGGCATCTGTGTGGATGTGGGTGTGAGTCCACGTATGTGTACACATGGATGCACGCGGTTGCTGGTGTCACCTACAGCAGTATTAAGGTTTACAGTCAGACAAGGACCATTGGAACACAAACATCCTGCCGGGGACCCTAACTCCTATCCTACTCTCTACATGTTAATACACAATGTATGCAGGTACTGTATATTTCTTTTAATTTACACCCACACAATATATAAATAATAAAATAATGTTAATGTTAACACCTCTCATTTTCTTTGAACAAGAACAGCATTATTATATTCTCAACCTTATGAAATAATTATATTTGTATCACTTTATGCATGAGAACTAAAAAATGCTAAAACAAAATGCTCATATAATGGTAAATGGACTGCATTAATACAGCGTTTTTCTAGCCACTCGAAACTCTATAATCAGTCAGACCACACAACATATTAAACCTGGTCATTGCTGTTAATTAGCTATTGGGCATATCAATATTGTTTTCTAAATAACTTCTAGTCGTAAAAAAAAGAAAAAACGTGACAAAAGGTAAGAGTCTTACTGTCAAAATCATATTTACTGTTGAGTAAATTCTAAAAAGGCAAGTGAAAGAAAAACAAGTTATTCACAAATCACTGAATATATATTTAGATTTTCCTCTAAATGTTCACAAGAGCATACAAAAATCCTCCTGAATAACGACCCTGACACTTGTCTGTTGTTAAAAAAAAAAGTTGGGTTTTCTTCTCACAAAAAAATGTTTTGTTTAAGATTCTGTCCAGGGAAAGAAAGCCATGGGGACGCAATTAAAGAACTACAAAGAAAAAAAATAGTTATGAAAATCTCCCACTTTCTTTTGATGTGCTGTAGTCTGAACTGTACACACACACACACACGTACACAGAAAACACACACACAAATCTGAACAAAGACACACGGAGAACCGGCATACCCACTCACACATGCACACACATTCATGTGCATATTGAGAATGTTAGTTGCAATCTATGAAATATATATATGAAATTACTAACATTTCAAATAAATTATTTGTATTTCATGATTTTTTTACATTTTTAATTACCTCTTTCTGACATACAGTAAATTGCAATATTAAAGGAATACAATTTGAGTTAATTGGGGTAGATTTAACTACAATCATTCTTAACTTAACACATCAAAGCATTAACTTCTAGTCTTTGGTAAGATAACAAATATTCTGAACATTAAATTATCAAAGTTTAAACAGATAAATACATAAAGGCGGAGAAAGACTAAATCAGACCAGAGCACCTAGTGAGATACATAATTTTAAGTAATTCAGTATTTTGATATGCTACATGCAATACAATACATTAGTCAAGCGAATTGAAAAAGAGTGAGAAAGCAAGGGGGAGAAAACTGATTTGTGTGTGTGTGTGTGTGTTTTAATAGGGCTATCTCATTGCCATTAGACTCTCCCCGGTGTGGGGTTACTTTGTCGAGCTGACCTCTCATAGCAGCTGAGCGGTTGAGTTTTGCATACATAATTAACTACAGCTAAATGTCATCTCTCACTTCAATAACTAACGCAGTGGGTGATGCTGCTCTCTCTTTTTGACTCCTAATCCGGAGTGAACCGCCGGCAGAACGAGTATGTGAAAATGAAGTGCAGCTTTTAAACTCCACATGAGTAAATGAGGGGCTGTAACACTGCAGAGAGAGGGTGTGAGCACAGTTCAGCGTCATTTAAAACAATCGTAACCTGTAAAATAATGTTTCAAATGAGCAGATACGGAGATTTGAAGTTAGTGAAGCACAGCCTTAATAAACAACGAGAAAATCAAGTACTTTGGAGCTGGTAATTATCTCTTGTAGTCAGTGAGGCTGTTTTTAGTAAAGTACAGTATGTAACCGAGGTGGAGCGACCATATCCCCACACTGAGCTAACATCTAGTTAGAACAGCATGTGAGGGGCTTTTTTTGTAGGTGGCTCCGGCTTATTGGAAAGTCACTGGTTGAAATCAAACACTCTTGGCTGTATCTAAACTAAGAATGGAAGAATCTGGTGGACATACAAAAAGAAAATCTGTGAGTAGCAAAAGTTTACTCCTGAGCTAAATCTGAATGTCATTGATGAATGATCCTGGCCGTCAATGTGTAGGTGTGTGTGTGTGTGTGTGTGTGTGTGTGTGTGTGTGTGTGTGTGTGTGTGTGTGTGTGTGTGTGTGTGTGCGTGTGTTCGCCTGCTGTCGGCTGTACTCTGTTGTAGATGATGATGTAGATGTTGTTTTCTGGGAGCATCGGAAACTGAACACCAAATTAAAGCCGCGATGTTTGATTAAGTGTGCCAGGTGATCTCAGGAGAGGCGCGCAGACACAACCTCAACCCCCTCATTCATTTGTAAACCTCCAAATGCAGGCTTGAAATACAGGAAGTAGGAGTGTACGCTGTAAATTCCCCCCTTGATTGGGAATACAAATGATCAAATGTATGAAGGCTAGGAATGTATGGGTACACGGTGTCAGCAAAGTAGCGAGAGGCAGAGAGGAGGAGAATAGAAGGAATTAGGCTGTGAAGTGAGAGAGAGCATCTGAAAATAAAGATGTAAGCTGCATTGTAGCACCTCACCTTGAATATGTGGCACAGAAAGAATAATAAATGAAAAAATTCTTCCGTCATTGGTTTGAGATCAATTGCCGGGATCAAAAAAAATCTGATTCAGTCACACACTGTTTGTTTTCAGAATTAGCAGACTCCTAATTCGCTATTCTTGGATACTTTTAATGACTAGCGCAGTAAACATCCCACCAACCAAAGCCAATTATAACTTTATCAGCACGATCTCTGCGCGGAAGAGGAACTGTGGATCTCAGAAAGAGAAACAAAAATACCTTGATCTTCCAGGAAAAAAAATGTTTATTATTGAATATTTCTTTCAGTGTGCTTGTCAACACATTGATTTTACTGACACGAGCACAGTCTCGCTGAGATTAATATGATTTATTTATGTGTAAAAACTATTTAAACTTGAAGTTCAACTTAGACAAATCTTCAAATGTGCAAAATCCTGCTAAAAATACAATATGTAACAATAGTACAAATATATATATTTCCATAGTAATATCCGAATGTTTATTTGTCAAAACAAAAAAAGCACAAACTAAAATAAAGCAACAAAAAAGTTCCTTGATATGTATCATTTGTCAAACAAATATTTAAAAAAGAAAACAAACAAGTTGAAGCAAGGAAGTTTTAGATTGACTTTAAATAAATACTACTACAATTAATGCTGAGTGTTTCCAATTGAAAAAAAAAGTCAAACACAATTTTCGAATAGATTGTTGCATCCTTTTTTGACCCCTTACCAATTACTCTGTTATTCAGATTTTTCCTTTTTCTGCTAAACAGAACCACTACTGGCATGGTAGCATAAGTAATAGTCAATAAATCTGAAATATTATGTGTGAAGTTGCGGGAAAAGACCATTAAGGGGCGGGCACAAGTGGAGCCGGTGTAGGGGTCTTGTCTGAAAGAGGGCGGCTAATTCAGGACAACTGTGAACTCTGAACCTGCTAAAAGCACGGCCACTGGTCAGCCGAGCGCTTTAATAGAGTCCACATGTGCTCACAGCCTGCATTGCTATAATTAGACAGATCTCTAAAGGTTTGCTTAAATCAACATCAGAGTGCTTTGTTTTCACTCTTAGTTAGACTTAAAAGACGCACAAAGACTGCCTGTGGCCTTCACCTTTTAATCCATTTCATGCTTTATATATTCATACAAAGTGACGCTGGGCTTTTAAAGCCAGAATAATCATTACTTTATAGGTCTCAGGGCTTCAGTTTCACACTGAATAAAGCCTGAGTGTTAAGTAGCCAGTGTTACACTGAGAATTAGGGAGAAATGAAGAGTGTTTAAATAGCTCAGACACGACGCACGGCAGCTCAGCCCAGGCAGAGAAGGCTCAGCATTAATCAAAATGTCAGGGCTCTGTTTGACAAACTGCACAATGCCTCAAACATCTTCTTGTCTGTAAACACAAACATCAAATGCCATGTGGCGTGTCCTCATCACTAACAAGCAAACTAACAAGAGACCTGGAATTCCACTCAATTAGTACCTGCTCGCTTCCCTATTAATCTACTAGCCCCGGTGAAAAGATGAGAAGAGACAGGAAGAAAAAAAAGTGAAACGAATAAAAACAACAACAATTTGTTGCAATAAATATATTAATGCCAGTGAGGTTTCCGTTTCAGGTGGTGTAATTTGACATGATATGCGGGCTATGTTCTGTCATTAGTAAGGAAAAATGGTGAGTAGGGGATCAAAGCAAAAAGGCTCTGAGCCTGCCACTTAATTTATCACACGGCAAAGACAAAGGCTTTTCTCTCTGCTTCTGTCGTTTTTCAAAAGCCCTGACTCCTTTCTATGACAAACTCAGTTTGCAATTTAATTTAGGGCTCAAGTCCCTCGGTGCAGAAAAGCAAGCAGGCAGGAAGTGAAAAGGAGGTACTGCAGCCAGACAGGCACATGCAGAAGACAAACAAGCAGGAGAAGCTAACAGCGGGTGTGAAACGTCCAGGCTGGCGGCAAGAACTGTGAGAGAGACAAGAAGGCAGACAGGTGTCATGAAACTCCAGCAGGCAGGCAGTAAGGCAGGCAGTAAGGCAGGCAGTAAGGCAGGCTGGTAAACAGGCTAAAAAAGTAGGCAGGAAATTGTTTCAAATGTCGGGAAAGATCGCATTCTAGCAGGTCATAAGGAGGCATCAATGCACACTAGCAGCCATAGTATGCTGAGCAGTGCTAAGGCAGGAGAACCAGAAGTGTGGGAGTGTGACAAGGTCTGGAGTCTGTTGGGCAGTGGATTGAATTATATATTGCGTGTAGGCCAAGAGTCGGTAGGCGGTGGAACCTAAGAATATTCTGTTAGCAGTGTGGGTAATAGTGCGCCGCAGCCTCAGCAGGGCCTCAGTGACTCACAGAGGAGCTTTCATACATACACCCAGAAAAACAGCTAAACAAACAGATCCCACTTCCACAAAGACGGGGAAGACAAGAACGTGGTGTGTGTGTGTGTGTGTGTGTGTGTGTGTGTGTGTGTGTGTGTGTGTGTGTGTGTGTGTGTGTGTGTGTGTGTGTGTGTGTGTGTGTGTGTGTGTGTGTGTGTGTGTTTATAAATGTGCGAGTGACCCCGGCGCTGTGGCGATGCTTCCTGTATCGCTGACCGGCGTCAGTGCTCCATTAATTAAAGAGACGATGCACTGGCAGGTGGCTTCACTGCCCACACTGGTAATTGGCCCCCTTCTTCCCACTCTCTCCCCCTAGAAAATCACCCATCTCTGCCTTTTCTTTCTTTTCTCTGTCTCGTTCCCTCCTCCTATCTCTCGCTCTCAGAAACGTGCCAGTGGGCAGGCAGAAATGCAAGACTTTGTGAAATAATGATTAGAATGGATGGAGATGAAGGGAAGGGAGTTGCACATTTTCCCACAAGCCTCTGATGGTCGGGGAATGCTGTTCGCCTTCAAGCGTCATACGACGCGACGGGAGTTTACTTTAGACAGCCACAATCTGAGGAGCCTGTGCCGCAGTCATTAATGATGTGGGGAGGGGACAGAGCTGTACTTTGACAAGTTTCTGCATGTGTATGTTTTTGTCTGTGTAGGTTGTTGTGCATGCGTGTGCGTGCGTGCGTGAGTATATTGGAGGGAAAGAGAATTTGTAATTATGAAACTTGATATGAATGAGGGAAAAGGAACCTTCTGTTTGTCATGTGTAATGCTGACTGTTGAAAAGCTCCTAAAAGGTGTGTGTGTGTGTGTGCGTGTGCGTGTGCGTGTGCGTGTGCGTGTGTTTTCTCACCACGTCACTGGGCAGGTTGTGCAGGTCATCAAAAGGACTTTCCAGGGTGTTGGTGTCCACGTTCAGAATGACCACATCCTCCAGTGATCGGCTGCGTACTTTCTAAAGGAGGAAATGTCCGGTGTTATCAGCAACAGTGCTCACGCTGCCACAGTCATTTAAACTCTTCACAATCCTAAAAATATGTAAGAAATCTTCAACTAATTTTTTATTATATTTATTTAAATATTATATTATTACATTTCCAATTTTGCATTCAAAAGTTGTTTTAATATTAACAATTTAAAATCTGCCGTACAAAACTGAATATAATAAATATCTGTAAAATGCTGCATTTGATTGTTGCCAGATTTGGTGAATCATGGATGTTTGTTAAGTTTTAAATAACAAAAGCCTAAGACTATATAGTTTGGTAAATTACCAAATCATGTAATTAAGTTAACATTTGAAAGGTGGGGCCCAGGTGTGTGTCCTAGCAGATAAAGCCATTTCTGCACTGAAGCCCTAGAATAGGAGAAAGCACAGCGGTCACATATAAAACCACACTGTCATCACACTCCTTTACGATTAGCAATGAAAAATGGCGTGTAAGAAAAATAATGTTAGGAAATCTTTACTGTAACACACACGCGCTGGAAAAATGAAGAATGGCACTGAGAGGAAACATTTGGATTGCGCAAACATTTTCCACAGCACCAGAACCTCATGCATCAACAACAACACAGTGATGCTGTATGCATCCTGATGGCGACAAATTCAACTATTATTTCAGTGTGGAACAGGATGCAGGCAGGTGTGGGGGGGAGGCAGCATAGTGTGTGAATTTCTAGTTTGTCACTTTTGTGACAGCATGTGCAGCGGAGGCTCACATGCTGATCTGGACTAATTATGTAGTGGTGGAAAGGGGGTCTGTCACGGATGCAGAGTGTGATAAATACTGCCTCTGCCGCAACTGTCAGACAGATATCACACACACACACACACATATTTGCATTACAACATATGCATTTGCACAATTACACACACACACACACACACACACACTTACACAAGTGCAAAGCACGCGTGCCTTTAACAAGCATTCACACACAACAGCAGTGCTGGTGACGGCTTGCCCCCAACCAACACTCAGGGATTAACAATGAAGTAGAAAAAGCTCTTTGTTCGCAGAGGCTTTCTCAGCCTTTCTCCCTCTGTCTTTTGTACTTTTAGTTAAGAATGCACAGAAGCAAGACAGAGAGATAAAGATGAAAAAACATTTAAAAAATAAATATTCAATGTTTTGGAATAAAATACCTAATATTTTAGACCAACATTAAGAGCACAATTCACCAAAAGAGATGCAGCATAACCTGACTATTTATACAAAGAGGAAACACTAGGATTTTATATTTTATAATTCATATAGTGTCCTTAAATGTAGTTTGGTTATTCCTTTTAAAGAAGATCATCATATATATATATATATATATACATATAATACATTTCATATAGTGTTCACATACATATGTCAATTTGCAGCAGAATACATCATTATGCACATAGAATAATATGTAGATTTATTTACATGCACATAATATGCATACCCACAAATTGACTAACGTACCTCCAGCAGACTGAGATGAACTCCCACAAAGTATGGCATGGGGGCACTGTGAATGGAGAGAGGAAAACAAAACAATATCAATATCAGATTGTTACAGACAGTATATCAATATTTGTGGAGGCTTTACTGGCAAAGTACATTTCACACAACCATCTGAAAAAGTTAAAAGATAACAGTTAAAGATATCTTTTTGATAATGTAGAAAATTAACTGACAAAGCCGATGTTTGATTAATCTTAAGTTATTTATCAAGCAAAATAAGTATAAATCACATCCTATTCAGAGTAAGGGTATGTTGCCTTTAGCGGTATTCTTATATAATTAAAGAAGAGCCAAGTTCTCAGCAAACTTCCCCTTAAACAAATGAAGCTTGATTAAAAGAAGATATACTTATTCTGTATTCACTCTGAAGGTATGACCTGTCAGTAATAAAACACCTGATTGCATTTTTTTTTTTACTTCAATTATTTAACATCTGATAATCAAATATAAAATCATAAAAGCTAAGAACATAAGCTCATATTATTTTAAAGGTTCTTAACTGCTAAAATGGTTGATTAAAAAAAACTACTGTCATGCAACAGATGTGCACTGGATGCACTGAAACTAACAAACTCTGCATGAGAAAACATAATCCTAACATAGGCAGCAAAACGGGTTTTCACATGTTGTTCCCTAAATAAATCTTTTAAAGGTAGGGTAGGTAATTTTAGAGAAACCAGCTCGAGTGCACTACAATTTGAAAATACACAACCGGAGAAAATCTGCCACTTCCTTACAGAGCCCCTCCTCCAACACACACGAACGCGCACATGACCAATGAGGGCACGAGATAAGTTCGTGCACAGATGGAAGGCTGACAGGCAGGTAGGCCATCCAGTTATTTTAGCCGGCCCGGCTAAAATGATTGGTCGTGCTTTTTACAGTACTATGGCTTCCACAGAAGACATTTTTTAATGGATTTTTTGTCAAAGCACTGAAGATATTCATTGCTATCGGATGTTAAGAGCATTCCATGGAATATAACAAAAAGTGTATCTCGAGCCGGTTTCTCAAACTTACCTACCCCACCTTTAAGGGAAAATCATTTTGTTTTGGACTTTTTGTTGGATAAAACAAAGCTAATTGTGACATTAACCTGGGCTATATGGCAGTTTTCATCATATTTTGACATTTTATTGACCAAGTTATCAATTATTCAGAAAAAATATGCAGATGAATCAATCATTTAAATATGTTTTGTTAGAACAGTAGACTCAGTGCTTTGACAATAAATATGTGAGGGTGTCCTACTGATAGTAAAGATCAACAAAACTACAATACCTTATAAGGGGCATTTGCTTTTATGTAAATGAAAAG